CCTGGAACAGATGTGTTCAATTCATCAGTCACTTTCTCAAGACTGATGTGCTGAATTTATCGGTTCCAGGTTGAGGGACTGATTACTTCATTTTCCTCTTCAGTTTCCACCGTTCTTCTCGGTATTGGACTGAAGAATCCGCTGGCTCGCGAAATGTTTCCAAGAATAAAGATACACAAATATTGTACAAGTGTCTCATTCATAAACCTGTCCGTTTTTCTAAACCGTTTATACGGGTCCTCATAGCAAAACCTGCGTTGTGTCTCCAAGATCTGATTTATGGTTCAGCGAACCTGATTTGTGGGCCAGTGCCCTGCTTTATAGCGCCAGGTTCCCAGTATAAATCAGTATTTGTTGATTTATGTTCCATCAGTCGCAAATGCTAATGTCAGCCCCCCCCCCCCCCGAAAAAAATATCAGTGGAGACTGAGGGGTAATCAGGTTTCATCCGAGGAAAAGAAGGAGTCCAAATATAATGGATGTTCTAAAGGGGCACATTAATAATAATAATAATAATAATAAATAATAATAATAATATATAATAATAATAATAATAATAATAATAATAATAATAACTATAATAATAATAATTATAATAATAATAATAATATTATTATTATTATTATTATTATTATTATTATTATTATTATTATTATTATTATTATTATTATTATTATTTAGGAATTTTCTAGATCTTAAGCCAAGCAAAAAATATTAACAATTATTTATATAATGACCACAGAGTTAAATGATGCAGGTGTGTGTGCGTATGTGTGTGTGTGTGTGTGTGTGTGTGTGTGTGTGTGTGTGTGTGTGTGTGTGTGTGTGTGTGTTGTGGTGTGTGTGTGTGAGCTAAACGTTGTTTCAATAAAGCGTGCCTTGAACGTGTGCCTTCAGAGACACACTGTAAACGTTGCTAAATCGACAAATTCTGGAGACCGTGGAAGACGCACGAACAATCTGTTCCGACCAGAACAATATTGTGTAGACCACAAGGCGAAAAATAAGTCTGTCCTCACTTTTGATTTAAATATAGTTTGAGTCGGACATACTGAAGAAAACATAAGTCAGTTTTCCGACTAAGAAAAATGAAAACACTTAACAACTTAACTGCAACTGCTTAATGTAAAATATCACTTAAATACTTAAGTGCTGCTAAATAGATTAAAAATTCACTTAACTGGTACCGGCAAAATGCAGACACTTAACTGCTGCTGAAAAATTAATTCTAACTACTTAGGTGAAACCTATTAATCACTTAACTGCCTATGTGTCACTAATAAAATTAATTAACCAAGTTACTGGCAGTGAAGAATGCAAGAGTAATATTGACACACTAGACTCCGTTGTTCAAACTTTACCAAGACTTGGAGTTTACCATTGAAACACCTGCAAGTTATCACGCTCAGGTAGGCTGTGCTCAGGTAGGCTGTGCTCGGCTAGGCTGTGCTCAGCTAGGCTGTGCTCAGCTAGGCTGTTCTCAGCTAGGATGTTCTCAGCTAGGCTGTGCTCCGCTAGGCTGTGCTTAGCTACGCTGTGCTCAGCTAGGCTGTTCTCAACTAGGCTGTGCTCAGCTAGGCTGTGCTCAGCTGGGCTGTGCTCAGCTGGGCTGTGCTCAGCTAGGCTGTACTCAGCTGGGCTCGTCATAGCTCAGTGCAGTGACGAAAGTGTTATATTGAGCGCCAGCTGTGTTTAGCCCCAGCTGCTGAACACAGCTGAACACACACACACACACACACACACACTCCACAGGAAAGAAAAAACTGGCCGTAAGAAATTTTATCCGTAACTTACGATTAAAAGTAATATCGTTCAATAATAAGTCTGCGGGACCTTCCAGTCACGTTTAATTTATCCCTCACCATCCTTAAATTTATAATGAATAAGCAACGTTATACACACACACACACACACACACACACACACACACACACACACACACACAACACACACCACACACACACACACACACACACACACACACACACACACACACACACACGCACAATATATATATATATATATAAATATATATAAAATATATAAATATATATATATATATATAATATATATATATATATATATATATAGGGGAAAAGGGTGAGTGGTGCACTTAGGAGTCTGTGGAGACAAAGAACTTTGTCCTTGGAGGCAGAGGGAATGTATGAGAGTATAGTTTTACCGACGCTCTTATATGTGTGTGAAGCATGGGTGATGAATGTTGCAGCGAGGAGAAGGCTGGAGGCATGGAGATGTCATTGTCTGAGGGCATGTGTGGTGTGAATATAATGCAGAGAATTCGTAGTTTGGAAGTTAGGAGGAGGTGCGGGATTACCGAAACTGTTGGGCCAGAGGGCTGAGGAAGGGTTGTTAAGGTGGTTCGGACATGTAGAGAGAATGGAGCGAAACAGAGTGACTTCAAGTGTGTATCAGTCTGTAGTGGAAGGAAGGCGGGGTAGGGGTCGGCCTAGGAAAGGTTGGAGGGAGGGGGTAAAGGAGGTTTTGTGTGTGAGGGGCTTGGACTTCCAGCAGGCATGCGTGAGCGTGTTTGATAGAA